CAAATCACAACTGCACACTCGTGAAAATTTTATTGTCGACATACATTCGCGACGCGAAATAACTTCCGGCAATGTTGGAGAACATAACTCACAGCACGACGAATTCGAATATCTGGTGGTAAAAATCGGCGCTCGTGGCGAGCGAGTCGGTCGTGTTAAAACGTCGCTCCATTATTCTGGCGAGCCGGTGACTTTTACGAGCGCAGCACGAGCGGTCGTGCAGTTATCGCAATGTTACATCGCGAAGTTACGTCGCCGTGATTGTTGCGGGATGAACGTGGCGCGGCTGTATTCGGCGTTTTACTGATCGCAATGAAATCCGGCGATTGAGATGTTAATTAGCAAAAGATACGCTCTCCCCATTTCTCAATTCGCGCCACGGGATTCCCAGCAAGACTAATTAACTCGCCGCAGCAGCAAGTAGTCTCCACACCAGTAAAAAGCGAATTAATCACGTGCTATATCTACGACGCTGCCATCGTCGACATCGTTGTCATTGTTATCATTGACAACGCCGTTGTAGAAGTTCTACGACGGCCAGCCTACACGGACCTCACCTAAGGCAACTTATTTGCTAGCGGGTTAGTGACTTCTCTTTGCATATCGCGGGTAATCTGGTCGAGGAGTCTGGTCTCTGGCTTTCAGTGTGGGGCGACTCGCGCTATCAGTCACTCTCGGTGTAATCGTGATGCGCGCCGCACCCGCGATTATGACGTCTGGTAAATTACGTGCTATGGTGTATGATATGATACTATTTATAGTAACCACACGATAATAAACACTAGTGCGTTTCTGCGCATTAGAATATATGTGATTAAAAAGAGAATAGAGAGGAGATGAGAAGAGAGAGAGAGAGAGAGAGAGAGAGAGAGAGAGAGAGAAAGAGAGAAATGTTACATGTTAGGATAACCACGAAGAACATAGCTGCTTTCTGAAAAGAAATAGGTCCGCTATGTTTCGTGACTTTAATAATTTGGAAACAAAATAAAGAAACTCTATAGCAAATAAGAAACTCGGTATAACAGAATACTAATGAAGAGTAATACAATGCTCAACTAATTCAATGTAGTAACAACCAACTTTGCTAATTGATGTTGGCTACATGTAAATATCGCGTATTCGTTTGACATAATAATATTAGGGGGCATTAATTAGCATTAATAATAGCAATTGCAATCGTTCCAGTTTCATGAAAAATGTCATAATAACATTATTCCACTATCACATAAGTTTTTTTTTAAACAGGCAATGTATTTGTTAGCAATATCCATCTCTACTTTTGTGTCTGAATTTATTTACAATTAATCTCATTTTTCTCGATTCAGATGTTAAGATGAAATATTAGAATTAAACAAAAATTATTGTTATATAATATTAATATAAAATGTAAATCATTATTGATAACAGATTGTCAGAGTTACTTTGTTTACTCATCTGTTAAAATAAGCGATTTTATGTTTGTCTGGTATCTATTACGTAAATAAGGAATTTTCTGAAGAGGCCATCGATAGCAACGCTCGCCTTTAATCAGCTAACGTGTTAATGATATCAAACTGCAATCGCACGCATAATTGAGTTGCGCCAGATAATTCGATTTATGCTGCAATCTCAGGTTGCATCTTCAAACAAATAAGACGGAAACAAAAATTCCGCTCTTTAAATATACATATTAAGATAGAATACATTAAAATAAAGATAGAATATATCGAAATATTACCATTTTCAAAATATTATATATTGGATCAATCGCACTGTGTGGATAATACATAAATTCAAAAAAGAAAATTTTCGTTTTCCAATTAACTGAACAATAGTAGAATTTTTTAAATATTTAAATACCAAAACAACAGTATTTTTGAGCAATACAATTTTAATGAAAAATTTTTTTAATTCTTATTTAATCTGCGATCTTTTCAATTTTCATTAAAAAATTAGAAAGTTTTCCTGCTCTTGCCGCATCATTTTTCTTTCTCTATGTGCACCGAACTTTTTTATCAGAAATGTAATGTATCATAATACATCATATCCGTTTGCAGTTTACTAACTACATTTACTAACTACGATAACGCGAAATCCAGGTCATAATTATGTAATTAGGTCGACAGTATACAAAAATGAGATTATCGCGGATTTCTGAATAATTAAAACGTTGATGTCATGCCGTATCGATTTAGTCGGTGTATCAAAAGTAACCTTTCAAAGCTGAATCTGCGACGAAATTGGATAAAAATAAGATTAGTTAAGTGTAAAATATTGCAACACGAATACGAAGAAACACAGCAGTTTATTTGCAGAGATTAAATCTGCGAAAACAAGATTCTTGGTATCTTAATTTATCGTATAACTGACGAGCATTTTATTTTTTCGCGGTATGTTATATCTTCGAGGTAAACGACGACAATAAACACGCGTGCGGTATCCACAATTCGCAACTATGGTAATAAACCGCTATGTTGCCAGGATGTATTATTTGCGGTTGCTAATTCATTTGCAGTATTATATTTGATGGAAGATTGTTCAACAATGTAATTGTTTCAATCCAAGTTCTAACAAGTCTGACATTCTAAATCTAATACAAATTTTTAAAATTCTGTGATGTAGAAACAATAACATCAGTTAGTGGATTTTTATCACGTATTCTGTTTTAATCTCTTAACCCAGAAACAATCGTCTGAGTATTTTTATGTCAGAACGAAAAAATATGAATTGTTATATTGTTTTGAATATTGGATATTATTTAACATATATTTTTTTTAATAATTATTCTTTATGAACCTCTTAAACAATTTCATTGAAAAAATCGCTATATTTATTAAATTTAATTTTTAATTTAATTTAATTTTTTGTAATAAATTAACATATTTCTTTTCATTTTTGCTTCACATATTTCTTTCAATTTTGTTTCATTTAATATTTCGGTTTTTACTTTTTTTTTAGAAAACTATGATTAAATTTATATAACATTTTCAAATTTGTAATAAATTGGAAGAAATTAATAATATACAATATCTGTTGTTAATGCCTTTGCGTTTACACAAAAGAAAAATCAGTTGACTACTCCCGGAATGGTCCTTAAGAATGGCAAATGCAAAACTTCAGAAGCTTCAAACAAACTACAGAAATTAGGTTACCCGAGAAATAAATTCCCATCCTGTTTCCTCGTAACAAACGTCAGTACTAATTTCGCAATTACGTATTCGCCATCTTAGTCCGTTTCCCGACAATACGACCAAGAAGAGATCTTCATCTGCCAGTCGCGCGAATAGGGGACGACCTTAATCCCCAAACGTCACGTCAAACATTCTCTTCTCGGCACGACGGGCGGGACTTAATTCCATAAAAGACAAACTCGCGTCGCCAGGAGAAATTCAATTTATGTGCGAGTTTTGCATAACGAGTACGCCGCGGTGGCCACGTATATATAAGCCCGATAGTTTCTCATTAAGCTACGCTGACCCAGAACCAGATCCCACAGCGCGAGCACAATGGCACCATCGTCAGGGGTAACCACCCCCTCGACTGTTGGACCGGTTCAATTGGATGTACAGCTTGCATACCGATAGTCTCACGGGAACAATGCTGTGCGTAAACCTATATGCGCCGCGGTACATATCCATGCAGTCTTCTGTAGTGACGCAAGCATCGCTATAGCAACACATAACATTAATGCCAAAGAAAGAGCGAAATTTTTGTGCGCACACAGCTTCAAAATTTCTTATTTTTCGAGAATTACAGATGGCTTTTTTGAAAGCTTCTCGACTCAGACTGAAATATGCATCTTGCATTCGTGTCAATGCGCATTAATATCAAATCGGGAAAAATCTGAGAAAAATTGTAGAATAAATAATTCCCAAGATATTGCCAAAAAGTAATTTCGCGAATACGCTATTGGAAAGTCGCGTCAAACTTTTTATTATAAGTAGTTTCTTTTATGAAAAACTCAAAATTTTTAAACCAAAAATATTCCAAATGTAACTGTCACGCGTTGTCTGCTGGTCGGCTCTACAATATTGAATGCATGCAAAATGCACATTGAACGTGTTCACGTGTGTATCACGCTTTGTATTGCGCTCTGCAAAAGCTGAGCAGTGCCTCAATCCCTGACCTACATGGACGACGGAATCTCAAATGGTGGTTAATGTATCCCAAAAGATTTGAGAGCCCAACTCAGCGCACTTACGCGGAGCCTATACTTGCACGAAACTTGCATCACAAAAAAACACAACGACAAAACACAACGCTTCGCATTTCGCTTCGTATAACAGAGATAAAAGTTTATTGGCCTTTCGAGGAAAATGTCGCTGGGCCGCATCCCGCTGCGCGACTTACAGCTCAACATTTTGCACGATGGTCGTGTCAGAAGAAATTGTTTCTTGTTACCTTTCGTGAGGTACAGAGTGCCACGAGCTCAGGTGGAATCGCAAAATGTCGCTTTCGTGATTTCACGGAGGTACGCGAGATTGGGAGAACGATATACGCCAAGAGAGTAAAGCATTGGAAGAAAATTCCATTCCAATTTTAAATTACCTTAAAATTTTTAACATGTCAATTCTGTCTATATGCATATTTAAGATTACATACACTGAATATTTCTAATTAAATCAAGAAAATGGCCACAAGAATAGCATTTTGGTTTGGAGAATAAATAAAATTTAATTAACAATTAGAAATTCTGTGATTCTTTGATTCCATTATTTTTATTGAGCCCTTTTGCTGGTTTAATCAGAACATTTTTCTCAATGTAAATATGATGCAATTAAAATGCTAATATTAATTAGTAAATATTTTTCAGAAATATAAATACAAAAATATTTACAAATATTCTTATAAATAAATTCCTATTTCCTAATAATTTGAAAAAATTATATTGGCGTCACATTATTTAAAATTATGTGCGTTATTCTATTTTTGCAATTGAATCTTGCATATTACCTAACACTAAATTGCAATAGCTTCTACATTGCATTGCACCCTTAATATAATTAGCAGTGGGTACTCACCGTAATTTGATGATTAGTCGGACTAGGACTAGGGCTGGGAGTGGAATTTGGCGTAGAGAGCTCTCCCGATGCCGGCGAAGGCGAATTTGTAGTAACGCCACCAACCGTTGGAAATGCCCTTGCTGGATCGGCTTGCCATTGTTTATGAATTTGCTGGGACGTATCTCGGAACCGCGCGCCCTAAAGAGCAAAAAATAATTTTATATTAAAGATGTTATAAGACGAGATATCAGAGATAAGATGAAACGTTTTCCAAGTAATTTAGAATATATGTCGGTCGCTTTATTTTCTGATTAAGACATCAAATGTAATTTCTTGCAATTTTCAATAACAAAATATTTAAAATGTATTATTTTAGGAGTAATTCTTAAATACTAAGAAAAAGATAATTAAGCAGCATTTGAAATATATTCACCGCGATGTTTCCTTTTATCGGAATATAATGTTTCTTTGCGTGTAAACGCGTGCTATTTGACGGCAATTAATATGCTTCTTTCTAATGCGCTGTTGAACACTTGCATCCTTGAAGAACTAGATCGCCCGCATACGCGTCATATCATCAGATGACACAGTTCGATTAGTCTCGGATATTTGCCTCTAGACAATTGTATCGAGACCGATCGCCTCGCTCCGCCGATCCGACAAGTCTAATTAGAATAGCCAGCCTACACGATTGCCGTAAATAAGGTCACATTCCCTGCTAAATTTTACTTTAATCTGAAATACCGTTAACTATCTAGTTTCACATCACTCTGTAAATGTAATGATATCATTCAAATTATTATACGCTACACATTAAATTAAAAATAATAATCGTAAATGAAAACTTAAAATGGAAGTCGAGTTCTTAAATGCTAATGAACTGAAATCTATGGTTAAGAAAATAATGGCTAAAAATAGTCATTAATTTATTTTTCCCTTTTCTATATCACGTATATGGCAGTTCTCTTTTTATATTGTACATATATGTATCATGATATTATTTAACTTAATATATCAAATGAGAAAATATATGTGTCAGTCGTATATTATAACGTGTATCCGCCGTAATTAATAATTCTATAGTGGCTGTCAAAATGACAGCTGCCTGGTGTAGAAGGTTCGTAGAACCCATGGCCGAACTACGAAAGATTGCGTGCATGCGTGTGTGCAATCCTTCAAGAACAGCGTTACTCGCGGATGCGATAATTGCGCTTATGCAACGCCTCACCGTAATAGCAATTAACGTCGGGGGAGTATAATAGAGACCGGAGTACAAGCGGAATCTCTCAAGTAAGCGCGTGTTCCGAATCGTGGCCCGTGCCTGCCAATCGACGCTGCCTTTTTAAGACCCGAGACTTCGCGAGCGCGAGCATGTCGGCGAATTACGGGGAGTCAATCTAAAATTTTTCACCCATGTCAAATCGGCGCGCCCGACTGCCATGGTCTCGGAATTAATTTCGCGAGGAATGAGGCTAATTTACATCCGCTACAGCATTCCCCTCGCAATCGCGGCCACATTGTATATAATAATATCTAACGTCGCGTCGTGTAATCTCCGGCAGATTGCATGCCGCGATTAAAGGATGCATTTTTTGGAAACTCTTCTTACCGCGCACACTGCGCGATATTAAATCTACTGCATGCACGTGTCGGTCAAAGTGACATTTGCAGAATGAATTGGCAAAACAGTTGGTGTTTGGACAGCCATGTATACATAGTGAGAAAAACTCTCTTTGAATTTTTTTAAAAACATTTAGTTTTTGGGAACAGTTTTATTGTCTACCGTGATAAGCTTCTTTTTACAATTACTAGAAATTACTGCAGATACTATACAACGCATACGATAAATAATATGTAATATAATAATAACGAATTTATTAGTAGAATTAAGTGCAATGCATATATTTATATATGTATATTATTATTTTATATTCATAATTTTCAATTTTATGAAAACACAACAATGTGCCGAAAATTGAAATTAAATGTAAATTTCATGAAATTTTTATTGCAAATCCGATTTATGGCATCTTAAACAAATTGGGAAAAAAAATTTATGACTTTCTCAACATAAAATTTATGTAAAAAATAATAAAAATTAATATAAAGGAATTTAAGTATATTTTACCCGATGTGTCCTAGATAGAATCTCTTTTTGTGAATCTTGATTTACGAGATATCGAATGGGGAGGCTTTTGTGTGCGTGCCATGCCGATCGTATGTGCTCATATAAACATGAACGATCGAGACTAACTGTGATTTAGCCTCCGTCTTTCATGATGTTGCGCTGAGAGAGATCCAGCACGATCGAGATCGTCAGATACAGTGGCATTCACGTGGCGATTCGGACGATCTACGTGGAGGTCGACTACCGGATATGATACAACGGATTGAACGGAATGTGTGCGAGGCGCGTTTTCATAAACAAAAGCGCAGTTTAAATAGCGCTTCAGTTAAATCACGATTTATAGAGGATAAAGCAATGTTCCGAAACAAAACTCTCTTCCGACGCGATTGTTCATAATGAATCGTATGGTCCGTATCGTGACGTAGCAAAAACTTTGCTGTTTATATTGCAGAATCATTTAGATTCACAGATAACCAATGGAGCTTTCTCTGCCTGTAATTTAAAACTTTAATTAAGTGCAATTGCAATTAAAACGAAGGTGTTGCCATTCATTACAATAATATTAAAGAAACACCGATAATTTTCAATTTAACACCATTTATTATCAATAAACAGTTTATAGTCATCTCATAATATAAGAAAAAAAGCATAGTATAATCAATATAATTTATGAATATAATAAAGCATAGTATAATCAATATAATTTATGAATATAATTTAAAGTAGATAAATTTCTCGTCTTTTCCGCCTGTAATATAATATTTCAATTAATTACAGTTGCAATTTAAACGGATATGTTGTCTTTCGTTATAATAATATTTTAAAAATCATCGACAAAATAATTTTCAATTTAATGATATCTGTTGTGAATAAATAATTTATAATTATCTTACAATACAAAAGAGCAATAAATCAATATAATTCATAGTAGATAATTTTCCCACAACTGTTTTTAATTTAATAAAATTACTTTGTCAAGATTTAAATATTTCAAATTAAACGGTATCCAAACAATACAATTTTTAATTTTCACTTATTATTAAGATGATATATATTTTTTATAATTAATATGCATCTTTTTAATATATATGATTTTGAGAAACATAGAGTATTTTATTATTTACAAATAAATTGTTATAATTAATCAGCAAAAAATTAAATAAAATTTTTTATAAAAATATTTTATTTGTACGAATACCTTTTGCACTTACTACATCTTATATTTAAAATAATAATCATGATTGAATTATTATACGTTATTTATTAGCAAAAAAAGATCTTTCATTATCAGTCCTTTCTCTATTGAATTACTTATCGTGATCACACGAGAAAATTGACTGTTATCTATCATGTAATCCCCATGTGAGCACACACGGTGAAAATTGATTGCATCGCGGTGGTAATGTAACGCGGCGCAATTCTGCTTTTTGTTGCCTGTTACGACCCGGAGGAACGACATCATCTCGTTTGCATGTGCGACATCGCTCTCTCGCAAATTAAACGCTTCGCGAAATTTTTCAGGATCAAGTGTCTGTCGAAGCGTGAAAGCGAGCGCGCGCGAGTTTCGCAGCGGTGTATGTCGGTGTATGGAGCGCAATGTTATCCGATAACCGAGACGATGCACCTTTTTTCTAGTGTTGAGGTTTTGCGTTGAGGTTTTGATGTATCGAGAAGTTCTTGAAATCTCACTGTAATTCGAAACGTGCTGACAAATGGGACCGCGGTGAATCTCGTTGTCATATCTCATATCTTTCGGTTTGCACTTTTCAATATTATTCCATCAAAAAAATGCTGTCATTCCTAAACTCATGAATTAATATTGTCATCAGTAACTTGAAAATTTTTAATGAAATACCATTCGTTTTAATTTAAATAATTTCAATGAATAACATTAAAAGAAAAGAAAGTTAAAAAATCTAAACGAGAAGAAAGTACGAAATATATTTACACACAAAGAAATATATTTATATCAAAAAGTTAAAAAAAAATGCTGTCATTCCTGATCGACCTCGTCTATATTTGAATCAGCATCGTTATAAATAACCTGAACATTTTTAATAAACATTTTTAAGGAACATTTTTAATGAATCGCCATTTGTTTTAATTTAAATCATTTCATCGAGTAGTGCCAATTAAAAAAGAAAGTTAGAAGATCTGGGCGAGAAGAAAGTATGAAATATTTATCATATTCAAAAGAGAAGCTGGCACTCTCTCTTCTTCGTCCCCTCAAGAGCCACGTCATGACGCGTTCGTTATTCTCGCGTCATTAAAATTAAACACGCTTGATGGGCCGACGAAGTGTTGGCATGCCAATCGGTCTCGTCCGTCTTCGAGGCACGACGTTGCGAGGACTAATCGCGCGATCGCAAAAATCGCGAGGCGCGTCGAGGAGGAAGCGATCGCGCGCCGAATTGAAGTCCCTTCAGATTCGATGCTGCGGTGCATCTCCTATCGAACGATCTTACCGCGTACCTCGTCGAAGAGGTCGTCCAGTTCTTTCCGTAGTATCTTGGCCTTCATCCCGCGGGCATTCCTCACGTCGAACTTCCCGACGTCTCTTTATCTCGACGCTGCGCGGAAGAGAGCGAACAAGAAGAAGGGTCGAAAAGGAGAACGAGAGGAGAGTTCCCTTTCCCTTCGCTCCTTCAAATGTCACGAACCGTGCTCCGTTCTCTCTCTCTTGTTTCTGTGGGTGTTCTCGAAAGCTTTTTCTTAGACACATAAATAGTCGATGACGCGCAGTAAAGTACGAGAGAAGGTCGCGCGATAATGATCACGACGACGGGCGGCCGATTCTGCACTCTTCATCGTCGTTGCACCAACCGGTCACGTCGGTCCATCATTCATCGCTGCTCAGAGTCTTCATTCGACTGGAACGTGTGTCCGAAGCGATTCATACGAAATTACATTGACACATAGTACGTCGCATCCGACTTTTTACTGGAATTTTCATTGGTATTTCTTTTTTTATCAAAATGCTAATTTAATAATGATATTATTATTTTAAAATTATACAGTTAATATTTTAATATTACTGTAACACATCATTATTATTAATAAACGAATCTAA